CCCAAATTATTCTCATTCCCTTTGGTTGGCATTCAAGGAGCTCAGGACTGCTTGTAAGTTAGCTGCTCTCTTCCTAGATGATTTTGTAAGTAGATTTTGGTAATTTTTAATGATGCAAAACTAATAAACTGCTTTTTAAAAATAAACTGATTTAACATAGAGTACAAGTAGCCCTTGCTTAATGACCATTCGTATAATGATGGTTTGAAGTTATGACGGCCTCAGAAAGGGTGTTTACAACTTCTAGCCGTCATAAAACTTCCCCCCACATGGCCACGTGGCTGCATTTCGGGCGCTTGGCAAGCACCCCACAATCATGTGATCACCATTTGCAATCTTCTCTGCTGGCTTCCCAGAAAGTCAATGAGGAGGAGGGGAGCTGAAATCCTTCTGCAGTATTCAGGAACAGAGCTCAAATCCTGAAGCTTTGAGCTCCATCCCTCCAGCCCACAAAGGATTTTCCTTCCATGCACAGAGAGGAGCTGAAATCCTTATCTGGTCTTCAGGAACGGGACTCAAATCCTGAGATCTGAGCTCTGTTCCTCCAGCCCCATGCATGAAGGGGAGGGGAAACCCTTTGATGGGTTGTAGGAACATTTGAGAGCAAAAGGGCTGCCTACCATGAGGATTTTAGCTTTGTGAGGAGCTGATATCCTTCAGCAGGCAGCTCTTTTGCTCTGTCTGCTTAACAACCGCAAATGGGAGTGCCCGGATTGCAGTCGTTGAGCGAAGCAGTCACATGGGCATCTCACTTAATGACCGCTTCACTCAACTGTTGAGATTCCAGTCCCAGTTGTGCTCATTAAGCGAGGACTACCTGTATGTCTGCTAATATATTTGTTTATGTGTCTTTCAGTGTTTTCAGAAAGAGGAAGTAAATAGTTTTTTTTCTGAGATTTCATGGATTCTCCTCCCCTCCCCCTAAATTCTGTCTGAGGACAGAAAGCAGGTAGTAAGATTTTTTTTAAAAAATTGACAGCATAAAACGTAATAAGGAGAATACATACTATTTCTTGGGGGGGGGGTGCAAAGGGAATAGCTCATTAGTGATGATGGGTAGCTGTGTTCTTGTTTCCAGTCTAATCTTCCTGAAACTGTGCTAATTTAGTATGTAAATACACAAGAATTATAGCTATATTTATTCATGATAGCTGAGATTCACAGCACACCTACTAACATTATTATAATATTCTAAATCATTGGTTGATATAAATGCAAAAGTTAATTTCTTAAAGCGCTTTTCAGAATAGTGATCACTGATCAGTATTGTTTGGAAAATTATGCGCCAGTGACTGAGGACCAGATAAAATGCATACTCTACTCCAACTTTTCTTAAAACAAATAATCGTGCCAGGCCCTGAGTAGAGGAATGGGATAGGAGATAGGTCTGTTTAATACATTTTTCAAAAAACAGCTGACCTTCCTTCCCAGTTCTATGTGCACAAGTATGGCATGCAAATGGCATTAATGCATTAAGTAATTAATGTCATGGAAGAACAACTTTGCATTCTTTTCTGTGTTGACTTACCTGTATTTTAGTTCTTCACTTGCTAAGGAAAAATGCTCATATAAGGAATATGCCTCATTTCCTTCCCAGTCTTTTAATTGTATTTTCAGAACATACTGCTTCTGGTTGGTTAGCTGAAAAACCAATTCATTTCCTAGCCAGTATTCTCCAGAAGGGTTTCCAAATCCCTGTAATTCAGATTAGATAATTAAATATATTAGTTTTGTTTCATTTTGAGGTCAGCACTTCACACCTTTGAAAAAAAATAATAAGTCATCATAATTGCATGAAGCCTTCTGAATTTCTCCATTTTGGAAAAGTGGACTTGAACAAGCACAGATTTAGAAATGGGAAAACCAAGTGGAACCATTTATTTGTTAGCTCTGGGGGGAAATTGCCATAAAAAAAGATCATCCATGTTTTAAAAAAATAATTGTAAATTAAACATTGCTGTGTTAATAGACAATCTATATACAAGTTATATACTTCCTTTTAGAACACAATTGCCTTGTGTATTTTCCTCCATTAACAGGTAATACTACTCAAGTTTTAGGGAAAGAAAGCAGAGTTGTAAGTAGGAAGGAGATGGTTGAGATGATTCTTTGGATTCTTCCAATTTTGTTACTGCAAAGTTTTAAGCTTGCTGTATCATCAGATGACATTCTTTGAGACAATACATCTTGACAAAAGATTATTAATAGCCTGTAAAAATCAGGTGATAGTAATCAAGGGATGTCCAATAACAAAGAAAGCCCAGAGCATGGGTAGGTAAACTCAGCCATGTTTATCCAAGTAGGTAGAAGCAGGAGGGGAAGTCAGGCCTATATTCAAATTAAAAACAAACAAACAGACAGACAGTCCATTGCGGACAACCATGGAAGCAAGAGAAGAAGCACTGAGGATATCAGTGTATGAATCCTATAGCATTAATGATTCCTCTACAAATCTGAAAGGGAAGCAACATCTGTTGGGCATTGGTATATGAGGTAGATTGGGCTCCATGTACATATTTCTCAAATATATATTTGTAAATAAATGCAAATACTGTAAAATGCTGCTAGATCTCTGTGACCTCATTCAAAGAAAACCCATCCTAGGGTAAATGCCAGAATTCTGAGATTCACAGCCCAGAATAATGGGTGAACACAATATTTATCTCTATGAAGCACTGTTTATCTTTCACATTCTAGCTCAACAGTACAGGCCACGGCCGAACAAGCAAAAGGCTGTAGGTTTAATTTTCTGACTTCTTCAGTGAAAAGGTTCTTGGATATTAATGCCGGAAAATATTTAAAATTACAAATTGATCAGAGTGAGACTATGTCATTTAGAACAACAAGAGCTTGATTAGACTCTATATTAAGAGTCTAATCAAGAATGCTCAGAAGTGTATTCAGAGTTCACTGAGTTCATCATGTTGTTTTGCTTACCATTTTATATTCGGCCCATGTTCGGTCAAAATCTACACTGCCATCTAAACGTTGCTGAATAATCGTCCAGCCTCCTCCAGCTGTCTCCATATCACAGTATGTCTGTCAGTACAAACAGGTATAGAAATTATTACTTAATTCATTTTCTCCCATTTAAGATTAAAGAGTTTACAAAACTCTGCCTATTTATGGGAGGCAAAATTTGCTTGCTCATATATTTTTTTATTTCCTATGTGATATAAAAATACAGGTCCCATCGTCATGTAAGAGGTGATAATGAGTATGTACTAAAGAGTATAATGCATTGTGCAGAGAAACAGCACTGACATGGAGAAGTATGGCTGTGTATTCCACCACTACTCGCATGTAAACAAGCAATCAGGTTTCCCTCTGTGTTCGCTTTGAGCAGTATTAGGAAACTTTCTAAGCATTATCTCTAGCTTTGTGTCAGGATCTGTAGTATTATGTCTGTTTATATGAGCACATATAATGAAAACATGTTCCTGAAGTGACTGTGAGTGCTGTCTAGCTCTCCATCAAGCAGATCCTGTATTTCACTGCCAAGTTTGGTTTCCAAAACACTTCTGTTTTTGTTTTTGAAATCTTTTTCTGGTTGCTTTGGGGGATACCTACGAGCCGAAAACTAAAAAACAGCATTCGTTGGCAAAAACCTGTATAATTAAGGTTTCCATTAGAAATATAATGGCATATAAAGCATAGCACTGTCTTTAGAAATTCTAACAAAATGTTTAAGGGGTTATGCTTAATAAGGTTCTTTGGTTATCTAAAGAAGACTGAATTGTTTGACTATGAAAGGGCTTAACTGAGAACTGAAAAGTGCAAGAGGGTCTCCTGTATTTACTGTAAATGATCTGAAACAGCTATTACATTCACTAAGATATCAAACTGCTCAGAGTAGCACTTTAATATAATGTATAAATGTGGTCCACTAAACATGAGAAAGAAGCCTGAACTGGGGGGGGGGGGGGAAATGACCAATGAGATCTTGGGTTGTGTCTCTCAACAATAATCCTCCACCCCACAGAGCTAACAGCTTCTGCATCTTGAGGTATTTATGAAGGGCATGCAGGCCAACTATTTCAAGAACAAACTCATGTTACACCATATATATTTCTTCCTGAGTTTCATACAAAAAGACCAGGTATTTAGCCATTATTTTGTAATTTAAGAAATAGGAAAAGCAAGATGATGCTAACAATAGCACAGTAGTATATCTTCAATAAGAAAGTAAGAATGTCAGCTTTGCATTGCGCTTCCTAACGAAAGCTTGCAGGGGGAAGAAAACAAGATTAGTAACGTACATTGTGCTGCAGTGTTTATAAGTCCCTTGAGAGGCCAGAGTGTGCATTGACAGGAAAAGATCAAAACATAAACAGCCACAGTCTGGCAAATAAAAGGCAATTTTGTTTCTCTGCCCAAAATATAATATAAAACAACATCAATAGCACTGTAAATCCCGGTCTCACAAAAAGGTCATCAATATTTTCCCTAAAAAGGTAATGACAGTAATTCTGGTGTTTCCATAGGCAGAATGAAATCCACTAGGACTGTTTCTGCAGAACTTCAGTTTTCCAGGAGTATTATGTGGGACTCCAGGCAAGTTGCATCAAAATTAATGAAGGCTAAGCGGTAATAGTAATTGATGGATTACACTCCTAGGCTGGGATAATCCATTAAACTTCTGCAAATAAGACAGAGAGTGGTGGCAGTCTAAACACTATAATCATTGTACTCCGTGTAGCAGGTCTGGGAATAAAAATTGTACCATCAATCATCCTGCCTAATTGTTGGCCTAACACTGACCCCACTTTGAGACAGTTTTTTAAAAATATATAGAAGCCTAGTACTAATATAGAAACCCAATTATACTTTGAAATGCATACGGTTGACATATTCTAGTATATACTAAAGATAGCATCTCTGATCAGAACTGGACTTAAGCTAGTTTGCAATATCTTCTGTTAACCTGAGAGTAAGATTCTGCATAGCTTTCCCATGAAGATAGAAAGCTATTGCTTCCTTTTTCTAACCTTGAAAGTTGAGTGGTTAAGTTTTTTAACTTATATAAAAATATTTCTGATACTGAAAGAGTTCCCCATTCTGATAAATGCAACCAAGAGAATATAATACCTTTTTTTCTTCTCCTGTATTAGATATAATTAATGTGTAAATACCACTTGCTGTAAACCCCATTTTGAATGCTTCTGAGCAGTCTTTGAAACTGATCTGTTCTTTTCCAGTGACCAAGGCATTCTTGGATGCTAAAAAGCAAAATTCAAAAACATATTAACAGAGCTGTCGTAAAAAATCTCTTACATTTAGTCATGTTGTAGATCTGATCTATATACCATTTTTTCCACCTGCCCCCTTTCCACCATTGCACACCATTTATTCCAGCCTTTTCAAACTGTTTACTGTTTAAGTAAGATCCATAAATCTAGTTTCCTTACAATACAAGGTTGCTTCCAGTCATTTAATTGTTTTTCCATACTTCTTTGATAGTTAGAACTTAGCCCTCTTGACACTGGCAAATGTTCAGGATATTTTTTTTCCACATTGGCGCTGAAGCCAACATGGTTTGTTTACTTGTTTGTGCACTACTTAAGAGATAACATCAGCAAAAACATTAGTTTCAGAAGTTCTCTAAGACTATTTTTAAGCTGTAAGACTAATAGGGCAGAATCAACTTCCTTAAAGAAAACAAATATCTTATGAATTGATTGTGGAATACTTGTAAACACAAGTCAGACCCTCAACTAAGTGGTAAAGTGTGGAAAGTTCTTGTTCAGATTGTCATTTAATCAGACCTACCTTCTTTCAGAATATTTCATTCTATTCTGCTCCCCTGTTCCCCATCTCCCCTGCCCCAAATCAGCTCTCCACCATTCCTTGCCTACTAAGCAGGAGTGTCCACAGGGTAGGGTTAAAAAAAGTCAAGATGGTAACCATGACAGTATAATCAAAGCTCTGCCTGCTTGTTATGCATGTCATATGCGTGACACATGTAAAAAACAGACAGAACTTTGATCACACTGTTCTGCCTGTTTGTTATGTCTATTTTTACTATATTCTGAAGATATCCCTGCCACTAATGAACATGCTTAGTCCCAGCTGGCTATTTGGATTTCATTTTTTAAGGTTTCTATAATGGAGCAGACTTACAGATGCCCTACATCTGTTGATAACTCCCTCTTATTCAATTTTGGACCCACATGCAGTGTCTACACCGATTAGTATTTAATTAGCTCAGCAGTAAATTAATTGCCCTCAAATAGCATTTCTTTTTGGTGAGGAAATATTTTATTTCGAAGAGGTGCTGAAACAGCAAAATTCACAAAGCTAGAAAGAATCAGCTTTGACTCTTCAAACAATTATTTTAATTCTGATACTGGAGAACACACAGAATTGTATTTGGCAGAATTCAGTCCTCCATGGTTACATTCTCACAGTGTCAGAGTTTGTTCTGTCTCTCTGAATGACCCACTGGTTTACTATTTTCCATATTAGTACGGTATGAGGTTTAACACCCACACATAGAAGTGGACTCCCAAGATTTAACATCGGCGCCAAACTCAGGGTGGTTTGGCCACTCTTAATCCTTTCTTTATTCCCAATATGTGGCTAGGGAATAGGTACGGAATAAAACTTTCCTAAATCAATAAAAACCTGTTATAATTAGGCTTTATATTAAGAAAGAAGCTGAGGATGATTGTGGGAAGGGAGGATTTTGACGCTAAGGGAAACTGCAGAGAAAAGAAAATGTTAACCAGAAGCATTTGTCTAGCATTCCAAGAATGGTGTCCATGTCTTTTACATCACCAGGATAACAGTGACTGTGTCTTCTACTTTACTTACGTTGTGGCGTAGAAATCATAGCAAACAAGTTTTGCACAGTTTCCCTCAGGTCATGTTGCTGCTTTTGCAGGAATGAGTTGTTAGCAGTAGCATTGACTAGCTGTTTCTCCAGTTCTTCTATTATGGAGTTCTGTCTGGAAACAAGTGACTGAAGCTTATCTTTCTCTTCTTTCATTGACTGTAGTTGGGATATGTGTTTGCTTTCCATTTCGAGGACTTTTTTTTCTAAAAGGCTAGCAAAGAGGGGAAAAAAGTCCAGCTTTGATTATTGCAACATTTCTGTGCAAATTAAAGCAAATAAATAAATGGATCTGAGCTAGTGAAAGTGCCATGATGGTCTAATGTAGAGTCTGATCAGAACTTACAAACATCGCATCCTATTCAACACCATAAATAACCTCTCCTCTTTATTAGTAGGGGCAAAGTAACCTCAGATCCTAGTTACACCAAGACTATTTGAATTCAGTGTCTCTTTAATTTCCTGGTTCTTCTCACTTCCCCTCAGATAGCAAGAGTTCATCATTACAACAGCAGGGTGATCCCAAATGCTGTCTGTGTTTTATTTTGGAGAAAAATAAAATGCTATGTCCAAACTTTATAGCCTATGTAAAATTCAGGCAATATGCATTATTTTATTTACTATAAATCTACAACAGTTTTTGTTGTGCATAATTTATTCTGATTTTGATAGATATAAAAAAAACAGTTGGAATATATGCTGATACTACTGTCCCTAAAGACTGCTTCACTGGCTATTTTAGAAAATGAACAGTGAAGTTTTCAAGACACTGAATTCTGCATTTAATTCCAAGTTTTGTATTCCTGCAGGACACACAATCTGGGAATGCTTTAGAGTACTGAATGTAGGATTGCATTCGGTGGCGAAAATGGTCTCTTTTAGTTCTGGGACTTTATAACTGTTATATGATCACACCCCTGTCTATACCACTTTCAGATAACTACAATTGAGCTTGGGTCAATACTGGTACCTATTAAGGATCTTTTCAGTGTGCTGACCTCTGTTTTAGCATTATGGGCACCTCTAGAACAGTCATGGAGATCACACGAAACCCTGATTTCCTTTTTTGCACTTTACTGAACACTTTGAATCAGCATGATTCAGGTAGATGTTTTTGTTTTTAAGGTGCATAAGATGAACATAACCCAACAGAATTTAAAACCCTCCACCACCGTCCAAGAGATGCATCATGCTAAAATCCCAGCCCTGCCCAGTTACATGACATCAGCCTTCTCTGCCCTGCCTACTTGCCAAAAATATGCCCACCCAAAGGTCCTGTCTCCAGGTGCCAAATGGTTATCCCTCCCTTGCTAGAACACTACCTAGACAATTACTCTCTTAATATCTAACTGACATGGCTGTCAAGCCTTCTAGTTCCAGTGAAAAATACACAAGTTAGTGGTGTCTTTGAATTGACTCCTGTTCTGAGTTAGCTGTCTAGATATTATTTGCTCTTACCTCAGTAAGAGTGGAAACAGATTTTATTGTGCCAGTTCCAAAATATTCTTGTTCTACAAATATTTGTTACTTGTTAATAGGTAGCAAATGACATATGGTATGATCCAAATCTATTACTTTCCTTACCACATTAAATGGCATTTGAATAATGAACCCATGTTTACTTAGCTCCTCCCGGGTAAAGTATCTTGTTTGCATAAAACAAACCTTGCAGGAGCATACACAAATATAGCAGGGGAGTGAAGACAAATGTGAAAACATGCCCTTTCCCCTCAGTGTTAATGTTTACTAGAACTGAAAAGTTCTTTCAGCATCGGGATTCCTAGTGAATAATAGTTGGGCTCATTGTAAGTTCAACCCTACCTTATGCTATAAGGTTCTATGATTTGGCAAGTCCTTGTTCTTAATTTTGGAAAGCAGCTTGTTTATCTCCATTATCTTTCCACAAATATGTCAACAACTCACTATAAAGGCAAGAACTATTCAGATGAATGAATGTGCTTGCAGTCCAATTCAGCAAACAGCAAGGTTGGCTTCTCAACACATGGATCTAGCCAACTGCATAACCAGCCAACAGCAGGTCACACACAAGGTTCATGGAGTAAGTGAAGGTCACAGTTCCCTGAACTTCTCCAGCTGGTCTAATATGATCCCAGCTCAGCAAGAAATGTTAATAGTTCTGTTGACTAGTTGTCATTCAAATATTTTATGTAAATAAAAAGAGACTCAAGATTCTTTGATGTTATACACCAAGTATTCATGCAGGCAAAAATCAATATGTCTCACTTCTAGTGGATATAAAAGGAAGTATTCCCCAAGATTGGACTCATTGTTTTAACTCAGTGGTTTAAACATTGTTATGAATCTGGATGGTTGCATTTTAAGATGGATGGCTTGCTATATCTGGAAGTATGGTAAACAGGGGGATTTCAAACCAACCATCTTGTTAAATCCCATCAGATTGGGTAAGAGTTCATAATGTGGCTGGTTTTTTTTTTTTGTTTGTTTGTTTGTTCTTGTGCCTTGAAGTCAGCATTGACTCCTGGTGACTGCCTGGATTAATCCCTGAAGTTTTCCTGGCAAGATTACGGAAGTGGTTTGCCATTGTCTTCTTCCTGAGAGAGAGTGACTGGCCCAAGATCACCCAGCTTGCTTCATGCCTAAGGCAGGACTGGAACTCATATCCTCCTGGTTTCTAGCCTGGTACTTTAACCACTACACCAAATGGCTCTCTAAAAGGCTGTAGTGGAAAATATTCAACCCTGAATTCCTAATTACTTTTGGACTATAACTCCCATTATTGCTGACCCCTGGTCTTGTGGTTGAGAATCAGGTATTGTTGTTCAACAATATCTGGGGATCTAAAGTGGGGAAAGGCTACTGTAGAGAAGCGAATGAAAAAGAGATGGGGCTATTTGCTGTCAGGAAGCAACTCCCTTGTAATTATGACTTTCAGTATTACCCAAAGTATATGGTAAATCTTTCACCTCCAAATTATTATTATTATTATTATTATTATTATTATTATTATTATTATTGATGTTGGTTGCACAAACAGCCAGATGGTTA